GGTAGTGTCGTATCCTCATTATTATCAGCTTGTCACTTACATCGATTTTAAGCTTCTCGTATTCAGCTCCTGCCAGCCATCTTGCGCAAATCGTCACTCCACCTGGCCTGTGGGCGACCTACACTACGTTTGCTGATAATGAGACACAATGGAGGATTTAAAAGGGCGTTGCTTACATGCCCTTTATGCCCTTCTTAGGTACCTCTTTAATAAGTATATAAAGTGGAAAATTGTGCTTCAATTACATAAAGTTAAAAACTATTGGCCAACATCCATATTTCCATTCTGATAATTAATTGAATGAAAATAAAAAGTAACGTTTCATAGCTACATAATTTTTCAATTTGAATATCGATCAATTTCTCTCCAGACTTGTTATTCAGTAGATATTTCTCATCGAATGATTAAAGACGTATTTCAATATTTTCGACAAAGTTTTATTAATATAAAGATTTATTTTCTTTTACCAAGTACGTTGTTTGTACACATATAAACGTTTAAATATAGCGTAGACCTGAAAACTGCTGTAGATGGAAGACGCCGAGGTTACGTGCCCATATGCCTGTCCATTTATAGAAAAGGCCAAAATCGCCAATTTTTTTTATTGGGATTATAGACTTTATCACTACTTTAGTGAAAGCCAAGATTTAATGTAAATTGCATTTATTATTACGTAGAAAAGAATTGGGAGAATTACTTTTCAAAGCAATTTGGTGCTATTTTATTTTATAAGGAGCTTTTAAATCTCGACATATAAAAACAATAATAAAAAAAATGATAATTTTATGTCTGAATGTGATCCACAAATTGTTGTTCTGAGTCTAGGTGTTCTTTGTGTCCGTTTCATATATGTTTGTAAAGTCCCCCGCGACACAGGATATATTCCTAATGCGGGAGTTGTCTTTTTAAAAAATATATATACGAGGGTGCGTTTTTAAGTTCGCGGAATGAGAGGGTTGGGGGGGGGGGGGGTGATTAGGCTCATTAAAACCGTCACGTATTCAGTGACTCATAATTTGGCTGCCCTGCATAAGGTGGGCTTCGATATTTTGAATCACCCACCCTACAGTCCAGACCTGGCCCCCAGCGATGGTTACCTGTTTCCAAAAATGAAAAAAGAGTTGCTGGGTAAAAAAAATACCAACGATGATGAAGTCAAGGAGGCAGTTTCGGCGTATTTTGAAGACAAAGAAAAACATTTTTTTATGAGGGTAAAAACAAATTAATTGAAAGATCTGAAAAATGTATAAGTCTTGCAGGTGAATATATTTAAAAGGAAAAATAATTTGGTTTTTTTATTTCCAACCCTTATCCCCCATTCCGCGAACATAAAAACGCTCCCTCGTATATATATACATATATATATTATCATACAAGAAGAGAATTTATACTTAGCTTACCTCTTAGTAAACGCCTCTTCTGATTCCATTGCGCTCGTAAGTATGTTTTAACTGTTTGTATCATGTGGCCTGCTTACATTTATCTTTAACATCTTTAACATCCACTGGTCAATTCCACTCAGGTAATTTATTAATTTTATTTGTAGTCTCAACTTTAATATTTTGCTTGCCTTTCTTTTTCTTTTTTTTTTTTGTGCGGGAATCCCCTCGGATACCACCTGGCATGTCGGACTCGAACCGACTAAAACCGCACGCCGTCTCGGGTACTAATAGCCGGGGAACCAGGTATACCCTAGAAAGGAAGTCCCTGGTGATTATTTTGCTTCCCTGGTCGACCACGACGGTCGGAAGCTAAGAACGTGGCGACTAACTTTAAGGTCAAAGTCAAATTAAAGGAAATTTTATATCTTATTAAGTCGGTTTAAGATGTATTAGCACGATTTAATAGCATATACACTCAACTAGTTACTTGCTTTCTAACCACTTAATTGGAGAGAATCTCCTAAAATTAAACAGCTGTTTCAGCATATACATCTACAAGTAAGTATAGTCCATAGTATATAGTAGAATTAAATTATTTTCAACTAGCTGACCCGGCGAACTCTGTTCCGCCTTAAAGGCAATAAATAAGCCGATTTTCGAATTTAGTAAGTTAATTTTTTTCTTAGAAAAAAAAATGAAGTACATTAATCATTTATTATTGTTTCTGCATTTCAGTACATAGGTTGCTCTTCACTTAAGTACCTTGTGATACACGACATTTTTTGTTTTCTTATCAGGCGCAAAAACAAACAACGCAGATAGTCTTCCGACCCGTGAACATGCCACATATAATTGACCATGGGAAAAACATGGATGTTCGTAAAAAAACAAAGTTCGTAAAAAAACAAAAAAAAAAACACTGTCGAACGGAATAAATAGTAACCTATGTCCGTCTCCTGGCTCTAAGCTACCTCGCCACCAATTTTCAGCCGTATCGGTAAAGCCGTTCTTGAGTTATAAATAGTGTAACTAACACGACTTTCTTTGATATATATAGATATGCAAGAAACGGCACTAAAATAAAAACCACTAGGCCCTAATAACCATCAGTTGAAAACGTAAATAAAACTGCAATAATTACAGATTTTCATTTATTTCAGTGATTACTGATTACATAATTAATAATAACATACGATACCTTAGAGCTATTGATTCTAGAAAAATCATTTCCAATATCACCCTTATCTAGTTATTAAACGGATAAATCCATTAAAAATTACAGTTTATTACTTATTTCAAATTAAAAGAAATATAATTTAAGTTAAACATTTAGACGTTTTTACGACTAAGACGTCGGCATTTAAATTTTATTATGTCATTTCATAGAGAATAAATTACTGGTACTGGGGCTTTTGTAACCCCCTAAAAATCTTTGGTACAACACAGCATAACAAGAAAAATAAAATACGAAAAAAGAAAAAAAAAACATAAAATAAATGGACAACTCCCTTGATAAATTGTTCGAACGCTACAATAGAAATCTTTGACAGACCTTACCACTGCATTTAAACATGTTACTTATTGATAATAATTTTAATTAAATAGTTTATTATCTAGGTTAAAAATCTCTGAATTGCATTTTTATTATAGTGATTAACAAACAACTGTTGATTCTTCTTACTTAACTAGCACTACTTTACTTACTAAAAATTCTAATTTATATTAACTATTTTAATGCCTAAGGGATAGTTGAACTTATATGTGTGAAAGATGAATAAACACAAATATATGGAGCAAATATGGCTAGTGTAGATGAGGTAAAATATATAAGTACGTATAAAGAATTGACATAGTGATGCATAGACGATGATTCCGTATGAAAGCTGTTGGCTCTGTGAAACTAAATTGCATGAATTATTGTCGGTGGTTTATACTTGCGTATTCACTTAAGATGTTAATGGTGAGTGCTAGCAATGATGATAAATCATCTAAATAAACCAAATTCGATTCACAGCCAGAATGATTTCCATACACCGTGTCTAGATATGGTAGAGGAAGGTACTTTTTTAAATTTAAAAAAAAAGTTTATATTTTAAAGTTAGATTTAATTGTTTAATCTATAATTATCTACAGTGCGTAAGTTTAAATTTTTCTATTTTAATCAAAAATTAGGATTTAATTTAATCCGTTTAATTGGAATGTTAGATTAGTAGCGCTACTCGGACTGAAACTACAAAATTGTTTTGATCCGAATAAAATTCATCACAAAACAATTTTTGTGTCCAGTCTCGGAAATCTTAGATTACAAATTTAGAAGAATTTTATATGGAAACTACATATCGCTTTAATAAGTAACTTTCAATGACTTAGGTAGAATTTTGTCGGTTTAATTTTGATTTATACTAAGCTAAACAAGTGCTAGATCATTTAAAAATGTATTTTGATAGTTAGAATTTTAAATGCTTAGTTTTAGATACTTTATAAGGTGTAAGGGATAGTGAAATTATAGATGTTACACAGCTCAAAACAAATAAAAATTTCTGCTTAATAGCGATATTATATTTAAGAATTGGAGAATAGAAGATAGCTAAGAGCTAGAAGCAACTAGACCAATGGCACTGTGGAATGTACCTGTGTTTATAAAAAATTATCCTAATCAGCTTAATAATAAGTTTCAAACAAGATTATGCTGCATTATTCTTAAATTTACATTTTTTTTTCATCTTCACTACCTTTTTTTAGTCATTTAACTTTATTCATACTACATTCCCTTTATTGCCAATATTTAATCCTTTCTAATCCGTGATTCAACGAATATGTATTAAGTTGTGATCTGCCATTATCCCTATAGTTTTAATATTATAATTTTTAAATACGAAGATTCTTGAGCTCGGGGAATCTTCATATTTAATTTTAATTTTATCCTCTAAATTTGTGGCAAGGTCTGAGAAGCCATTCGCCATGATGAAACACCGCAATTAGCTCTAACAGAATCCATACTAAGTCCATACAAATAGTTGAAAAAGGAAGTTGCTTACATTTGTATGGAACTGTATGGGTTCCTTAGAATATATTACAAACAATTTTCAAGGTGAAGTCCTACAGTTTTATTTCACAAAATAAACAATAATATTGGGTTGTCAACGTTCAATTAAGATTATTTTACACCTTCCACATATTTTTTTTATCTCGTTCATTTTACTTTCCCATTAACCTCTACCGATATTATCATTTCAAAACATTCTATTACTAGAAATACAAAATTTAACGTATTTACAACCATTTTTTTTAACTTCATTTTTAACAAAAACATTCATAAGTACATTCTTGCTTCGCGCACAGTCTAAATGTACATTCTTTATATTAGAATTATAAAGGACTAGATTCGATTTGGGAACAAAAATTACGAAAACAATCAATGAAAATAATGTAACTTCAACTTTTGCTTCTAAATTTGATGGTTATTCCATATCTTTATATTGTCTGGCAGTTTTCGCTATATCTTCGCCCGTCTCTTCCTCAACTCCATCGATTTCTTTAAAATGTACCAGACTTGATACCACTTCTTAAACTGAATATTTTAGAATTTTGGTGATATTTTACTTATGTTTAATATGATTACATAATGATGCATTTCCCTTTTTCAGCCCAAGGGTTGTTTTTCTTGTCGGGGGCATGTATGAGTGGATCGTTTTTTTCGTTTTCTTCCACATACTCCCTCATCCTGTAACAAAAAAATTATATTAGATGACATAAAAAAATATATTGTTTGCGTCCTAAAGATTTTCTTTTTGGCCAATTAGGTACATTTTTTTTCAGATAAAAAAAGATTTCGTTGTAAAAACCCAGTTGTGTTCTCGTAAATAATAACTGAGCATGGCAGTCGTTACGGAAACAGGTGTAAAATATGTTTAATGTGAGAAACTCTCCACTAAGCCATTGTTATTTGAAAAGTTGTAAACGTGGATTTTTTTGTGATAAAAATACTAATTATATCAGTATATTAATGGATATTTCAAGACAATATATTTCGTTTATTACTGAATCCAATTTTATTTACTAGACGTTAATAATTTAGGATTCCCATATAAAGAGAGAACATATCACTGAGAGAAATTGTACAAACACTTCTTTCTTTTTTGATTCATATCACTTTGAAATATTTGACATTACATTACATTTGACACCTATTTTCTGAAGCACGGCGTACAATCCTCAGCAACATTAAAGGTTTTTTTTATGGTACACAGGTTGATAAGTTGATAAATACTAACACAGTTATTATAACTAAAATTTTATAGACGCGATTTTATTTATGGATACGTGGCACATTGACGTGTCATGTCAGTTCTGTCAGAAATCAAAGATTGACACATTGAAAAATGTTGCCTTTAACAAACCTTACTTGATTTTTAGCTTCTTTGTGTATGTTGTTTTTAACTTTTGTTTTATTTTTGTATGCTGTGCTTTATGAAATAAATATTATTTTATTCAATTCTATTCTATTAGTGAAACTCCATCGCATTCAATTAAACAAATACCAAATATTTCAAAAACACAGCTAAGATCTAAAACTCAGGCATTTCTTAAAAAGTATTACACAGCCATATTTAAAGTAAGAATCTACATTAGATCTACAAAAAAAGTCGCCCAATAATTCGATGAGAAATAGAGGAATATTACTTATTTCATTATTTAGTTTTACACGTTTTCTTTAGCTTATTAAAAATATTTGACGGGCCTGTTGGTGTAGTGGTTAGTGAACCTGACTGCTTAACCGGAGGTGGTAGGTTCGATTTCCACCCAGGACAAATTTTATGATGAACACGGTTATTTGTTCTATGTCTGGGTACAATTTATCTATAATATGTATGTTTTAAAAATATATAAGTATGTTTATCAGCAGTCTGGTTATCATAGTACAGGCTGTGCCTAGTTTGGGATCAAACAGCCGTGTGTGAGATATATTATATATATTATTTTGTTTTAAAATAATACAAACAAATATGAACTTGCGGAGTTGCTCCTGCTTAAAGCTCAGTCACTTTTTGAAATCTCAAAAAACATCAGAATTCCATTTAAATTTAATAATGGAACGAACTAAACGAAGTCAAATAATACTAAAACTTTAATTAAAGGACGTGTCTGCAAAGTTTCAAAGCCGAAGACACTTCGATTTCAGTCAAAATGGAAATATTTTCAAAGGGTTTGAAATAAAATCGCTGTGATTATCAATGTAGAATTAGCAAACAATCAAAAGGCATTATTCGTGTTATTTCACGATCAATAAGAAGTAAATAAATAATTTATTAATTATATACATACAGACATAGGTTAATAAATAGTAAAAATTATGCATTTTGAACTTATAGGTGTGTATAATATATGTTACGTTAGACTCAAGACCCGATGTATTCCTAAGGCTACCCTCGATCGATATACATGCACAGAAGCCGTTCAACTACCCGCCCCCTTATGAAGTCCCTCATTCAAGGTCTTTGACAGTCTGCATAATTTAAACTATGATTTAATCAGTTCGAATAAATTGTAATTTTGTTTTTAATTTACTTATAAAAAGTCATATTTGGAATATAAATATACAGATATATTCAAACATAAGTGTATCATATATATGCAATGTTTATGATAACAACTTTGACGGGCCTCTTGGTCTGGTAGTTAGTGACCCTGACTACCAAGCCGGAGGTCGTGGGTTCGATTCCCACCCAGGACAAATATTGTGTGATGAGCATGGTCATTTGTTCTGTGTTTGGGTGTAATTTATCAATAATATGTATGTATTTCAAAATATAAAAGTATGTTTATCAGCAGTCTGGTTACCATAGTATAGACTCTGCCTAGTTTGGGATCAGGCGGCCGTGTGTGAGATGTGTGAAGTATATACTCGTATTATTATTAATTTAGATAATATTATATAAGCAACAAAAAAGATATCAATAATATTGAACCGAAAAAGGTATTGTAGTATGTACCTGTAGTTATATATATATTTAGTATGTAGCTATTATCGCAAGTGAGACCGATTTATACATATAATACGATAAAGAATTTGTTTGATACGAATTAAAACTAGTGCACTGCCGTCTATAAAGCCATGCAATCTGGCTATTTTTAATCTTCTTATACTCTACGTACGAGTACTGAGACTTTCAATTCAGCATCAAAAGTGTTATAAGTCAAGGTTGTTAGCTATGAACCTATGGATCAATATGTCTATCAGCATAACTTTTATTATTATACAACTAAATGTAAAATTCAAAGAATAGAGAATAACGGACAAACATATTGTGAACGCAATACAATACAATTTGACAGAATAATACTCGTACTCCATTAACGCGTTGACTTCAGTGTGTTGTGTCAAATACAGCACGAGTGTAACACAAAGACATTTATATAATAAATTTTATACCTTTTTGTACAAAAGTAATAATAATATATTAGTAAAGGTAATGGTATTGTTCCCATATCTTGTTATGAAAAGTTGAAAATGGGTCGTTGTTCTTCCCACGAACCCGGTATTTTTTAAATGTACTTTACATGTATTGTGTATGTTTTTTAAATGTATTTTTTAATATTTTTTTATTATTATATTATGGTCAATGTATGTCCCTGTCCCGTTATTCGATCCAATCATAGGACGGGCATATGGTACATGGCCCTGGCGGGTTTGATCTAGAACAATCTCAGTTCGTATCTCGTTTCCATCTGAAACATGTGGTATTTCTTATCCCAATTTGCCTACTTCCTATGTCCTGTCTATAAAGATTATAGTCTCAAGGAGAGTGGGCGTCAGAAAAGTGCCCGCCATAAATAAAACAAGTGAAAATCCTTTTCCAATGTTAAATATTACGCCTCCTTAAATGATATTAGGAAAAGGGCGGCAAAATGGCTTTTTATTATAATTAATTTACTTTTCTTTTTTAATATTCTAAATTAAGTTAATTAGGACTAACATCGGTAGCACTTTCAAGTAGTTTTTGTTTTGTTTTCTTTTTTTTTTTGAAGGTTACTAGCAACCGAAATTAATAGTCTTCCCGTTAACCCCTTCGACTAATCTAAATTGCTGGTCAGGATTCGAACCCACGACCTCTTGATCGCTAGTCCAATTCCTTAGCCACTAGGCTACCGCCCCTTTTAATTACTTACTTTTATTAGTATTGTTTTCTACTTATTTTTAGTGACCAAAATTATCCCAAAGTAACATTAAAAAGTCACCTGATTTACACCCGCAAAACGATAATCTTGAAAACTAACAGCGCACACCGATATATTATTTAAAAAATCTAAAAGTAGGATTTGTTTTCAATCTATATTTCTCTAAAGAAAAGCAAGTGTCCGTGTAAAAAAGATGAAAGACTACTTAAGTACATGTGTTTAGGAAACCTTAAACAAAATCTGCAACTGTGAACTGTGGCGTATGAATGTTGTGTTGTACAATTCCAATACGTTTTAGCTTCGTGTAGTTGATGAAATAACGATATTTTACGTATTAAAAGATAGTCAAGCAGAAAAGTGGAGGAGAGAAGGTCTAACGTCTATCAACGACGTCTAAAAGAGTACTGCTGCAGTTCACACCACGATGCGAATTGACCACGTACAATAAAGATATACGTCAATTTGCACCATGGTCTAAACCAACGATTTCAAAAAGTCATTCACACCGTGGTGTAAACAGCTTGTAGTGTCAATCGACGAAGTACCCATAATACACAACGTAGGCAGTTTATTGTGTTACAATATTTATTAATATCTACCAGTTATCTTTCAAATGGCAATAATTTTATAACAACTCTAACGCATAGGTAAACCGTAGATAATGATGGACAAAATTGTATACCTGTCTTATGATTGGAGATGTCACTATGAGAAGTGGGTCACCAACTAGTCTACTAAATCTAATTCGAAAAAAAAAACTCCTTGACTTAATTTCTTATACTATTTTCTAACCAGTACGGCGTGAGTTGTGTTTATCTATATATCCTCTATCTATACAAATAAATAAAATTGGAGTGTCTGTTTGTAATATTAAAATAACCGCTTTTTACTAAATGCATATGTATGTTTACACGGTACATATGCCAAAATAACTTTTTTTACAATTTTTGTCTGTCTGTTTGTTCCGAGTAATCTCTGGAACGGCTGGACCGATTTCGACGGGACTTTCACTGGCAGATAGCTGATGACATAAGGAGTAACTTAGGCTACTTTTTTTAGACTAGCTTTGCCCCGCGGCGTTTATAACATCAAACGCGGGTAACACCGAGGGTCTCAGCTAGTAAATGAATAAAATTGAATCCCTATATATATACCGCTTCCGCTATGCATTTCTTCATACTTAGGAGATATTAATAAATTTATGTGGCCATAAAGGTATCATATGTATAATTTATAGTCTCGAAACGATTCATCTAAAGTGGGTATAAAAATATACAAGGGTTTCCATCGCTAAAATGTAAATCGATGTATATTTTGCTGTTACCAACAGATGTAGTAAACAGAGGTTTACACGATCAATAAGAAGTAAAGAAATAATTTATTCTTTATGTACATACAAAGTAAACAGTTATTGGTACTAATTCTGTTGTTCGAAAACTCTCTAAACTAAACCAAAAATCACTAAAAATGTTTCTAGTCCTGTCAAATACTATGTTTTCAGAATAGGTAACGTTTAATTTCTATAGAACTTCGATATCGCCTAGT